ACTTAAATCCCTGTGTGGTGGCGGCGTGGGACGCGGCGTGCCGTCCTCCCATCCCTCCCTTGGGTTGTCTGTTTTCTTTCTTTTGCTCTCTGTTTCTACCTCAGAACGACGACGGGAGAAAGCGCGGACGTAAAGTTCACGAAATAAATCGGGCCAGGTGGTCTGTCTGCAAACCCGCCCCACTTATATCAACAAAACAATTCTCATTTTCAGTGTATGTAGCTCTTACGTACATTCCCGTAGGAGGACATTTGAGAGAGAGAGAGACAGTTGTAGCCCCCCGCTACCCAGTCGCAGTCGTGCGACGTAGCGGGGGGCCACGACTACGTTTACGAAAACATAAGTAGTCCCGCGAGGTGTGAATTGGCCGCCCCAGTAGTCCTCTTTCCAGACCGACGCCCGTCCGCTCGACTGGCCGATGAAGAGCGACCCGTACGACGCGCACTTGTCGTCCTCCCTCCTCGCCACATGACGGCCGCCCTCCGACACCGACAGTCGCGCTCCGCACGCCTTCGAGGTCAGCTGCGGCCGAGCGACGATCGGCTCGCTCCGATCGCTGGGCGCGGTCACTCTCCGGCCCATCACCCGCCTGCCGATCACCTGTCCGCCTCGCCGCGCGCGGGCCGCTCGCCTGCTCGCCACCGCCGCCGCGCGTCCCCGCGCCGCCACGCTTCCCTGTGCACCTGACCGCGCTCGAGCTGCGCACAGACGGCGCGCTCTGGCAGACAGAGCAGCGGCCGCCCAGGCGGTCGCTGCTCCGCCCCGTCCGAATCCGTCCGCCCGCGCGTGCCGCTGCCGCCGCCGCCGCCGCCGCCGCCACCGCCGCCGCGTTTCCCCGCGCCGCCACGCGTCCTCGCACCTGACCGCGCTCGAGCTGCGCAGGCAGACGGCGCGCTCTGGCAGACAGAGCAGCGGCCGCCCAGGCGGTCGCTGCTCCGCCCCGTCCGAATCCGTCCGCCCGCGCGTGCTGCTGCCGCCGCCGCCGCCGCTCCACCCGGTGCCCGTGTGCCGTGAGAGTTGCTTTGTGCATGTGCCATGTGTATGGGTCGGTGGACTTATATGTCACACACTTGAGCCTCTACCTATGATAGTAGACCGGTACTCGGGTTTGGATGGTAGCGGGGGGCCCCGCCGGAGGCTGGTTACTGATATATATCTTTTCCCCGGAGGCTATGGTGAAAAAAAATATAACCACACGTTACCAAACCCACACACATCAAACCCGCACACAAACACACACACGCTCGACAACGCCGTCAGCGACAACGCCGTAATGTGTAAGCTCCCTCAAAGCCTCTTGCTGCAGTCGGTCTGCGTAACCTCAGCAGCCGAAGACGCCCCCGCCTCCTTGTTGTCTCGCTCCTGCCGCTCTGTCGTGCTGACCCTACCAGACATGTCAGCAGCAGCAGCAACCTCCGAAAACCTCGCACCGGCAGTCGTATTTTGCAAGTGGTTCTGCAACGTGTGCAGTGACATCATTGCCAGCTGGGCAAGCACACTACTAGTCCGATCCGCAAAGGCGTCACGCACACTCTTCTCCGCAAAGTTGCCTTGGAAACCGGCATTGTACCACATCTGCTTCACTGATTCCAGCTGGGAAAGCAGATCCTCAGCGGCAACCAAGATCTGCCCCGCCTCATCAAGATTGGACCAACAGTAAGGAAACAAGTTTGGACGCTCTGGGGACGCGCCGAAAAACCAGGCCATTGGAAAGGGGGCTACTGGGGCGGCCAATTCACACCTCGCGGGACTACTTATGTTTTCGTAAACGTAGTCGTGGCCCCCCGCTACGTCGCACGACTGCGACTGGGTAGCGGGGGGCTATAACCATGGATAGAGATTTCACGTTGTAGAGCGCCTCTACATCGCTCTACATCGGACTCACATCGTCACGCGCCGGATGTAGAGCTCTACAGCTCTACAAGAGCTCTACAGCGCTCTCCAGCTCTACAGCTCTACAGCGCTCTACACTCTACATCCTCTACACCCTCCCTCAGGAAGCGACAAGGGATGAGAGCACGACGAGAAGGGGGCGACCGCGAGGTGGCACGAAGGTTGCAGCGAGAATCGGAGAGAGAATGCGAAGAGAGATAGGAAGAGGCGGACGCCCAAGGGTGGAGAGGCTCTACAGCAAAACCGCCGGGAAGGCAGTGACTCAAAGAGGTCGAGCCGCGCTAATGGGGTGTCTCCGAGCTTACTGGAGCTCTGATGGACGGCCCTGACTATCCCTGACACACAGAGAGTCACTCTGACGGCACACAACACCCTATAACTGCGTCATGACCAGCCTGCCATGCGTCGCCGGTGCCGCATTCATCGCTGTGCTTCTTTAGCAGGCGGTGGACTGTCGGCTGCGAGGACGGTCGCATTTGCGCGAGGCGAGGCGAGCATTGCTGAGCGTTGCATGCGCCATGCCTCGCGCCAGCGCGTGCGGGAGCTCCTGGCTGAGCGTTGAGTCCAGGTGAGTTGCGCTGGCCACGATCGCTACGCCGAGCCGAGCTGACGCGCCGAGGCGCCGGCCAGTCGCAGCTGTGAGGCATGCCACAGCAGCAGAGGCACCTGCCACCCATTGGGCGGGTAGACAGAAGGCCAGGGCAGCACTGGCAAGTGCAACGCGCCTCATGTCGGAGAGCGACCGCGTGCCTCGTTCGCCGCTTATGATGTATTTGTTGTAGAGATTTCACGTTGTAGAGCGCCTCTACATCGCTCTACAACGCAGGCGCCTCGTCACGCGGCGGATGTAGAGCTCTACAGCTCTACAGCGCTCTCCAGCTCTACAGCTCTACAGCGCTCTACACTCTACATCCTCTACACCCTCCCTCAGCACGAAGCCACGAACGCTGGCGAGTAGAGCTAGGTTCTCGAGGTTGTCGAGGTGGATATCCTTTGGCCGCGTTGGGTAGCGAGGATTGGTGTGACGCGGTGGTCCAGGAACGCGTGTTTTCTGACGGCCGACCGTCAGTACACGGAGTTGCCCCTTCTCACACGCTCGCACTCTCGAGGTCTCTTGGAGTGGAGCCCCGGCGAGACCTCGAAAGAATCCAATGGGTCCCTCAGGGGTACCCTGGTGTGCGGGGCTCGCGAGAAACCGTCGGCGCAGCCAGCAGGCGCCATACACACGTGTGTGTATGTGGCGCGGAGGCAAGGGCAAGGGCGGTGGCAAGGGCAAGGGCGGCGGCAAGGGCTACGGCTACCGCGGCGGCGGCTACCGCGGCGGCGGCGGACGCGCGCCGGCGGCGCCAATGTCGTGGAAGCGCAAGGCTGCAGACGACAAGGACGCGCTGCCGGCGCTCTCCCACCGAGCAGAGCTGCTCACGGCCCTGCGCAACCACGGTGTCGCGGTCGTGTCGGGTGACACGGGCTGCGGCAAGTCGACGCAGGTGCCGCAGTTTCTGCTCGACGCGTCAACAGCCAATCGCATCGTCGTCACGCAGCCGCGGCGGCTGGCGGCGCGCGCGCTGGCCGAGCGGGTGGCGTCGGAGCGCGGCTCGACGCTGGGTCGGACGGTGGGGTACGCCGTCTCGCGCGACAAGGCGACCACGCTCGGCACGACGCGGCTCACCTTTATGACCGTCGGCCTGCTGCTGCAGCTGCTCATCTTCAAGCGGGACGAGGTGGAGGCGGCCTTCACGCACATCGTCGTGGACGAGGCGCACGAGCGGGACGTCGACCTCGATCTCCTCCTCCTCCTCCTCAAGCGGCGCATGAAGGCCCAGGCAAACAAACTCCGCGCCGCTCGCGCCTCTGCCGCCGCCGCCGCCGACACCGCCGCCGAGCCTCCTGCGGCGGCCTCTGGCGCCGAGGCGGGCGGCGAGGAGGCGGGCGGCGAGGAGGCGGGCGAGGAGGGCGCGGGCGAGGAGGGCGTGGGGCAGCCGCTCAAGCGGCCGCGCCTCGACCCCGCGGCCGCTGCCTCTGAGGGCGGGGCGAAGCGCGGGGCGAAGGGCGAGGCTCCGGCCGACGGGCTGCGGCTGGTGGTGATGAGCGCGACGATCGACGCGTCCGCGTTCGCAGAGTACTACCGCGGCTGCTCGCTCGCGCCCCCTGCAGCCGACGCCGCCTCCTCCGCCTCCGGCGCCTCCTCGCTCGCCCCGGTGGTCCGGATCGGGTCGCGCGCCCACCAGGCTCCGCACCTCGCCTCCGCACTGCTCCGCACCGCTTCGCCCCTCGGCAGCACCTCGGTTTCACCGCGCCGCTGCGCCTCGAGAGGGCGAGGGGCCTCGAGCGGGCGAGGGGCGCGTGCTCACGGGTCTCGCCGCGTGGCCTCAGGTGGCCTGCTACTCGCTCGACGACCTCGTCGCCGCGATGCCCGAGGCACTCCTCGCCGCCCACCCGCCCAGGACGCGTCCCCACCCGCCCAGGACGTGCCCAGGACGCGTCCGTGGGTCCGCACCGCAGGCGCCAAAGGTTGTCGTCGACGACGGGGCGGGCGGAGCCGGCAGGGCAGCCGCCTCTGCCAACGCCGCGTCGGGCGCCGCCGCGCCGCCGCCCCGCGACGAGAAGGCACGCGCGGCCAA